CCTTGCACATATGTGCAAGTCGTTCCTGACTCTAGGGGGCGGTGCTCATCTCTGTTTCAAAGCCGAAGAGCCAGCACTGTCCAAAGACATCTCCATGGTCATGTGACCGCCATGACTAAACACTGAAGGTGAACAAAAAGTTGTTACCTTCCCACCAAACATGGTTCCTACTTTTCTATTTGCATTTTTACATGCTTTCAAACTGCTAAGTTGGCAGAAGCTGGGACAAGTAACGGGAGCTCATGCTGTTACGTGGCGCTAGGGATTCGAACCGCCAAATTGCCAATCTTTCTGATCGACAAGCTCAGCATCTTAGCCCTGAGCCACCGCATCCCTGAGTTCATGCTTGGGTATGGTTAATTTTTATTCATTTGTTTGTTTAACCGGTGTTTATAATTATCCACTCAGCATATGATTAAGAGTAGCATATCTTGTTTAAAAAACAAAAACAAATCCATAAGATTACATCATAAAAAGATAAAAAACATAAATCATTCAGAGATATATAATCACATAAATTATTTTGGGGGGGGTGGAATTCGTCCAACGTCGTATCTTTCTCAAACTCAATGTTGTAATAAGAATCATTCTTTAACGCCTCCCTAAAGGTTTTCAGAATTACTGCCAGGTAGATTTCAAGGGGTATGTTGTTCCATAGGGAAGGAACAACAACAATGAAAGCACATCTTCTGAATACTGCCAGTAAGATAGCCTATATGGTAGGCCCTAGAGCAGAGGTATCAAACTCAAGGCCCGGAGGCCGGATCCAGTCTGTGGGGTACTTAGATCTGGTCCATGGGCCACCCTGGAAAAAGCAAATGACTGGCTTCTGCCAGCAAAAAATGGAGCTTGGGAGGGCTACATGCGGAACTCTGGAGCTTCATTTTCACTGGCAGAGGGTTGCAGGAGGTCGTTGCAGTTAAAAACAACTCGGGAGCCTGTTTTCTCTGGCAGAGCATTTGGGCCATTACAGGAGCCTTCAACATGAGTGATGTCAAGCTGGCCATACCCACCCTGGCCATGCCCATCCCTGCCCCCCGAAGTCAAACACAACCCTGAACTCAATGAAATTGAGTTTGACACCCCTGCCCTAGAGCATACCGACTCTTTATAGGTCTTATTGGGCAGATAGAAAGGATTGAGACAGAGAGTTCTGCAAATAGCCTGGCTCTATACCATGAAGATTTTCATAAGTAAGACCAGCACCTAGGAGTGAACTGGTAACCAGTGTGACTTATGAATTAGAACAGCAGTCACTAACTTTTGTGGCTTGGTGAGTGGGGGAGGGGAACCGGGTTGGTATGCACACACATACATATGCAGCTCAACTGCAAGTCGAGCTGCATGTGCATGTGCGCAGGTCCACCACTTGTGCAAGTTGAGCATCGTGTTGCTTCAGCCCACCACTCACATGGTCCAGTTGTGAATAGGCCATGGCCAAGTAGTGGCCCATGGCCTGGAGATTGGGGACCCATGAATTATAAGAGTTACATTGGGATAGTAAGAAGTGCCAATAACTATTCATGCCACTGTATTCTGGAACAACTGAAATTCCCAAAGGGTCATCAAGGGCATTTCCATTAACAAAAATCCAATCATAAAGTGACTAAGGCATGAGTGGCTGTCAGCAGGGCTTCCTGATTAAAGGAGCAGATGCAACTTGAACATAACACACAGATATCTACGTTTTCACATTGTATAATGGAAAATTACACAGACACAGAAAGACACGCACACACACACATAGTACTTACTCTTACTGTGTAAGTTCTGCCTCCAACCCTGTCTTGGGCTTCTAAGACTACAACATCCAGTCCTGAGTCATATAATAACTTGGCTGCAGATAAACCTAAACAACAACAAAAAGCTTCATTGCACAATGCTACAAAAAATTTCATAGCAAGTTTTGCAATAAATAAGCTACAAATAAAAATGTGAAAAATAATTCTTTAGCATTAAATTAAGAATATAAGACCAAAATCTTAGACAACGGCTAAGATTCCAAATTCTACTTTATTCTAGTTTTAGTTGATAGAATCTTGAGGGCTTAGCAAATGAGACTTTTATTATGTAACCGCCTACTTTAGTAATGAAGATTTAAATCAGATTTTCAGAATTTTGTCCTTCCATTTCTTTTCACTTTCACTTTTTTCTCTTTAGTGCATTTTGATAAGTATTGTATGAACTGTCCCTTCTGAAGCATGCTATAAACTTGATATTGTTCCAAGAGCTACAGGAATAAAGTTGGATTCAAAGGACATATTAAAATGTCTAACAATTTGAATATTTAACATCAAGAACATAATTAATTATTGTAAGTGTGAAGTACAGAACATCTAATATTTAAGCTAGTGATTTTCAGTAATGCTAGTATACCTTACAATTCCACAGGGATCACCCAAGAACTCACAGCTTTTCTGGGCTTACTATCTATGGGAGGAGATGGTCTTTTTCCCAATTTGGAATGACAAGCCAGAAAAGGAGTTCAAAGGAAGAAGGCTTGAGAAAGGTAGAAATAAAAAAGAGATCAACAAGTGATACTGCTGATATTGATGGGAATCTGTGATGGTAACTCCACTTTCCTGAAGCTGCCTAATAAGATACCATGCTTTCATTGTAGAAAATGTAACTTTATAATAAATCCAATGTAACATTTTCTACAGAACCATTTTTGTCAATGTCTGCACTTTAGATAAAGATAAAGGTTTCCCCTGACCAGTTATCTCCAACTTGACACTAACAAATGGTGTTACAAGGACTGTTCTTGGGGCTGCCAAAATTATCTGTGCTGCCACACTCTGCACCAGCTGTAGCTTCCAAATGTTTTTCAAGGGTAGCCCCATATAGAGCATTTTACAATAGTCCAACCATTAGATGACTAGAGACTGAATAACTGAACATAGGGAGTCCTGATCCAGGAAAGGCTGCAATTGGCACATAATACAAAGTTGTACAAAGGCTCTCCTAATTGCAACTGCCACTTGTTCCTCAAACAGGAGTTGCAAGTCCAGGAGAACCCCCAAATTGTGGATGGAGTCTTTCTGGGGCAGCATCCAGAGTCAAAGATGACAAGTTCCAGATCCCGGAGACCCACATACCCAGAGCTATTTGGCCTTGCCAGGGTTTAGCCAGAACCTGTTGTCACCCTACCAGGCCCCCATAGCCTCTAGGCATTGAGAGAGTATGGCCATAGCATCACTTGGGTCATTAAACGTGGAAATATAGAGTTTACTTTCAATATTCTCTCTAGTTCCTCCTTCAGGGTTCCTCCAAGGGTCGTGCAGTCAGGGAAGGCAGGGGAGGCAGAGCCTCACCACTGTCATCCTGAAAAGAAAAAAAATGTAAAAGGAAAAAGGCTGAGGTAGTTGCTGCCAGAGTTACAGTGGCTGACTCTGCTTAGTGCTTAACTGTTTAAAAAAGCCTCTAAAAAAGTGCCCTCTACAGGAGGAGGTGGGAGAACCACTTGCCTCATTTAGTCTGACTTTATGATCACTCGAACAGAGTTAATCAAGGATTAAAAGCCAAAAAATTCCTTATGTAGATGAGGCACCTGGTTCTCTTGCCTCCTGCTATAGAGGGCATTTTTTAGAGGCTTTTTTAAACAGTTAAGCACTAAGCAGAGTCAGCCACTGTGACTCTGGCAGCAACTACCTCAGCCTTTTTCCTTTTAC